ACAATAATCTGATCGGAATTATTTGCTATAATCCCAAAACTGGAATTTTTGATTGTCTTTAGATTTAATTGGACAGAGAACGTGTACCAATGCAATGCATATTCTCATCCCAGTTCAGTTGGACTTTCAGTTTATTCGAAGCATTTTCAAGTTTTTTCTCTCTCCACCACATTTATGGAATTTGAAATAATAACAAAAATATATTGCAGTTTGATTGTATTATTATTGAAGCATACATATTTTTGCTCTTGAGCAGCGCCATATACAGTGTTGGATGAATAAAAAAATTCAGAATTTCAAGTAATTCTCACCAATACAATTCTTTCCATTCTTTTTGCATTCAATTTATATTATATATACGTATCAGAGCGAAAAATGGATAACTTGCATGTTGAATATACGTTTGCGATCAGTGAAACCACATAACAGAAATCCCATATCAATATCAATGTGAAACGAAATAAAAATGAAACCAATTTCTCATCGAAGACACTTAAAGTTCACAAAACTCTATCAATGGTTCACACTTTCAACTCATTCGCATCATCAATTAACAACATCAACAACAAAAAAATCACATTGTGAATGACTCTTTTTTATATCAACAAAAAATGGTCGATTTCTATGTTTAAATGTGTGATTTAAAACTCGATATGTATACAGTTTTGCGTTTTTTTGTTTCTTCAACTGGCCATTAAATAGCTGTTGATGAGTATTTTAATAAGCCAATGTGGTTGAATATGGATATTGAGTTTTAATTCTGCATGAATATTATCGTTTCGACTGGATTTTCAAGCTTGTGTGTTTGTGTCTGTGTACAAGAGTAAAAGAAAATGTGTGGCACCCATGTATTTCAATAATTTGAATGGAAGAATGAGAGAAACGAGGATGAACCTTATCCGCTCACATATGTTCTATTTTTTATGCATCAAATGGACTAAAAATCATAATATTTATTACAATTTATAGCATAGAAAAGTGATTTTTTCGGAGTTTTCCATACCATATTTGTTTTTTTCTGGGTGGTTTGGCTTTTTAGGGTACTTCATTCATATCATAATTTAACGAAAAAATCCACACAAAATGCATATTACTTTTGATAAAAAAAAGCTTTTTCGAAGAAAAAAAACTATCATTCACGCAAATCATGCCATTCAAAAATAAGGTGACGAGGAGCCCTTCGCAATGCATATTAGATAAGTTTACCTACTTCTTCAACCTTTGGCTTGCTTTTTGTTTCAATTTATGCAAAGTGTGTTGTTCAAAAAATCTATTGGGAGTTTTGTGTGAATGTAAAATGGCTCAGCGCTTAGATTCAGTGAGATGATATGGGTCGATCTGTTTGTTATATTCGCATGTGCATGTATCGTGAGTGTGTTGAAAGAGCCATGTGAGCTCATGTGAGCTCATGTGATCCACAAGGCAATTCATTGTTTGGTACAGTGTTTCTCGTTCTCTCTCTCTCTCTCTCTCTCTCTCTTCCGTTCATTTTGTGGAATCCCATTGTGCCATTATATACGTTCGGTTTGGCCCCGCACTTTGCTGTTCAAAAGTGTTTGGTGATGGCAAATATGCGATTTTTGCAAAAGTTGTACTTTTTTCTAGAACTCTCACTTGTCTTATAATCATTTCGTTCTCCTTTTTTTGTTTGAGAATTACTCGCACTTCCTACAGCGCTCTGTCTCTTTTCAATCGCTTCACATTTCGCGTGTTTATGCAATATTATGAATGGCTGCACCCCGCTTCTCACACTGCTCAATTGCAAATAAATCTTTTGCTCCGAAGAAAACAGGAAGAGAGTGAGAGTGAGAGAGGGGCAAACAAATCGCCAACACTAGTAAACGTTAAAAATGTGAATGTAGCGTTAAAGCGCACAAACAATGAATTTGGTTACACTATTCGTACTGCCAATGGATAAGAATCGGCGGAAAAAGCTTTTGCTGCAAATAGGATTACGTTAAAAAAAAACATGTTCGCCAGCAGCTAAATTCACGTGAGCTCATTCAACTTGCAGAGAGCAAAAAAAAACAGCATGGATGAACAGAGCAAGGAGAAACGCGCGGTTGATCCGGTTGAAAAAGCAACATTAAATGCCGAGGGTAAAAATGCATGAAAAATATGTGAAACCGGTTCGCGTTTCTAACGCTGCATGTTTTCCTGTGTTTTTCCTTGTTATTATTGTTTTTAGCCGTTGTCGATGTCGATGTCTTCGTTGTGATGTGCGCGAGCTCATGCAATTTCATTTCATTCGTTTTGGAAATTGTTTTGAATTAGATCAAATATTTTATTCAGCTTAAACCATCTATCATCCGGAGCATAGAGCTTTTCTCATTTCAACGGTTGCCGCCCTTTCGCATCGCATATAAACGAATGCAATGGCTCATTTTGTCAAACAATTTAAATGACACATCAGTCAACAAAACATACACACTTGCATTAGTTTCAGTATGAATAGAGAGCGAGAGAAAAAAAAAATGATGTGTTACAATTGAGCAACTAATGGCACACGCATTGTACTTCATATGAAACATGATGGAATGTCACCGCATAAATGAAAAACCATTATATCAAATTGTCTGCGTAATGTGCAAACGTTTTCATTTGGAGTGTGTTTTGTTTTGCCATTGGTTCTTGCTTCCATTCTTTTTCGTTTTTTCGCTTTCATTCCTTCTTTCATTCGCAGAGAATGCTTGCATCTTGGCCGTGAACTGTGAATGACACTCTTGAAAAAGTATAACGCTTTTATGTGTCCAAAATGAAAAACACAGCACTCAACGAGCAGTGATTGAATGTGTGATAGACGCAAAATTGTTTCAGCGAATGAATACAGAGAGCGAGAGTGAGAGAGAGAGAGAGAAAACAAGAAAAATACGAATAAATATGTACACTTCTCGAGTGAATTTGGCGGTAATCGTCAAATATTCATGCCACTGCTATTCAAGTGGATTAAATGTATCATCATGTCCATTGCACAACTCTATATTTTACTATCGGTACAAAACTATTTCGGAGCACACACCCAAATACAACAAAATGTATTCAAGTATATTTAATGAAGTGTCTTTTCATGACATTTCTCAAACAATTTTCCTAGCAGCTGCTGAATAGTTTCTTTTCGTGGGATTCATTGGATGCTTTCGGTTACATTTTTCATCGGTGATCCGTTTAATCTGTGCATTTCACTAAATGTACCTTCGCTCAAGAATATCGCATTTATAAATGATTAGATCGGCGTTGAAGAGTGGCCACGAAGCGCATCTCCATGTCTCGGGTTCGATGCCAAATGCTCCATATTTCCGCTGTTGAATTCGCATGAAAAACACGCGCCCGCACACACACACAATACTCAAACGAATCCTAACAATATGAATTGTTCAATGCACTTGAATGCCCCAACGTGGCAATAAAAGAATACGATTGATGTTCCAACGCAGCCAACAACAGTTTCATACAATGTGCTACTGCTTCAAAGCTTTACACTTATAGCACGTAAAACAATTTTATTTATGGTCTCTGACATCTAATTCTTTTTCATTTCCGGTTCGTGTATTACACACACACACACACACTCACATTGGCACAAATGGTCTTTCGTGCCAGAACTTGCTTTAAACACAATTGAAGACAGCATATTAATGCTAACTGCTAATATTACCATTTGATTTATTCATCACTCACTCTTACTTTCGTTCAATATTTCAGTGGATGCCGTGCACGCAACCGAAAAACAGTTAAATCGCCTGAAGACGAATACTAAATGAATTCGTCGAAAGTACAATTTCCGATAAATTCAAAATAAATAAATAACATCATCTTCGACATCTTTATTTTGGTGGTAATATTGCAATCAATGAGTTGCATCTCCCCGCGAAACATTATCTTTTTACGTTTCGAACCGAGATTCCTTAGTTTCATATACTCGATTTTTGCACATATTTTCGTCGTTTATGATGTGCACGCATTTTTGGCCGATCTCACTTGATTAAAATGAAATTGACGAAAAAAAACCGGCGAAAAGATCTCTGTTCGCTCGTATTTCATTCAGTTTGTCTATTGATTTTCATCACGTTTGCCACTATATATCGCACACTCGAAACCACTTTCTCTTCTTTTCGCATGCCATTTAATACACCAACCAACTTATTTTTACTACAGAGTGTATGTGCTTTTTTTTTTCTTCGCCATTCCATTCGTCAAATTGGCTCCAGACTCAATGTCGACGGTTGTCTCAATACATATACACCACACCAAAAGCAAAATGCTTATACAGAAATAGTAACGAATAAAAGACAAACTACCATAAAGATGTTATGCGTGAATTGATTATGGATTTGTTATTCTCTCCATTCTCTCATACACACACATATACATTGCACCAAACCATTTGAATTCGAAGCAAAAATTGAACGCATACCCACAATGGTGATTCACAAATATGCTTTGATCTAGTTTTATTTTTTTGTTGTCTTTTTCTTTATTTGTATTTTGTACAATCCATTAAAGTGAAGTGAGATGATAATGGGAGGCTGAATGTGTATGTATAGTTTTGTGTATGTGTATAATATTAACATAAAATGGATGCGCTTGTGTTCTATATTTTGGGTTAGTTTCAAACTATGATTTCATCTCAGTCGCGCATAAGTATCTTCTTCGCTCCGTTCCCCGCAGACTCAATGACAAAACGAAATATAAACTTTCAGAACTTTAGACATTTTGACGTCAATTTCTTCATCCAAGCAAACTCATGGCATTTTACTGTTGTTGGAGTTTTTCGTTATGTTTATCATTGTTTCTGTTCTTGTTCAGTTTTTATTCGCATCAAATGACCTTGGTGGCATCATTTCTTTTCGTCTTGTCCGTTGGATAACTAGAGCTAAACAGTAATATATACTGCAGAAAATATTGTTTTATATCGTCGATATATTTGCGTTGCTGGTGCCAGTTTTAGTTGTGTGCGTTTCTTGTTTTATTTTCTACAAGTTTCTTTCTGTATATGTGTATACAGCTCTGAGCCTGAGCGATTTTTCAGTTGAAGTTTAGCTTTTGTGTCAACCAACCGCTCATCTTGCATGGGATAACTTTCAATCGACAATTGAATTAAGTTGAAACCGCACGATTCCACTTTACAAAAAATTTCTTTCCTTTAAATTTGTAAAAGTTAATTCGGTTGCGTGTGATTTCCGAGATTTTCTTATTTCCGTTGTTCTACTGAAAATTAATTTTCCGAATTTGTTAGCACAAAACGGACGGATAAGTTTTCCATAGTGATCATTTTTTTTCTGTGCGATTGTGTGTGTGTGTGTGAAGAAAAAAAGTCAAAATGGAGTCAAACATAGACCCATTCAATCAATGGGGAGATGAGAATCAAACCGAATCTCATGAATTAAATGAAAGAGCACCAATAAATCACAATCCAAACACCTATATGACAGGTGATATACGAGAAACAAGTGTTGAAAGTTTAAATATTGATACGATGCAAACAAAAGTAACGGTGAATGGCCAAGTTAGACGAACCTTCTTCGATGAAAAGCCTATAGACAACAACTATTCACAATTCAGCAAATATAACCAGCAGATTGCATCAATTTCGGCAGGTTTGAACTATTCGTAATCATAATAAAACTCGATTTTTTTTTTTCGTTAAATGAATTTTATTGTTTATTCATAGGGCTTTTGTTGATAATATGCTCTGGCATGCATACGGTGTGGGCAATTTATCAAGTATTGTTCTATAAGACATCTCGTGTGTATCAAGCAAATTTTAACGAATTGATTGGATTTGTTAATAAAAATGAAACACATTTTTTTGATGTGCCCTACACGTTTTCGGATCGCGGCGGTTTAATGTTTACAATCATATTATGGTATATTGGAATGGGACTTGGAAGTCTTTTAAGTGGTTGGCTCTTGGTGCCGAATGTGCAAAAGAAAAACATTTATGTAAGTTTTTACCTCAAATTTACCGTGTTTTTTTTATCAAAACCAACAAAATATCTTATTTTCAGTACTTTGCATCGTTAGTAATGTTTGCAAGTGGATGTACTTTCTATAGCGCCGATGAATCCGAAAGGTTTTGGCCATTTCTTATGGCAATCGGTCGATTTTCAGCTGGATTTGGTCACGGTATTACATACGTCACCGTTTTTGTGCAAGCCAGTGAAAATGCGTCGAAAGATTTTCGCCGTATAATCGTTACAATAATCGGTGCTACCGTCGGTTTATCGATATTCATTGCGTCAATTTTTCTCATCAGGGTACCGATGCCATTAGCAACGAAGATGGAAAATCCAAATGCATTATATGAAACAATGTCCTCAGGAATTATATGTACAATTACCATAATATTGAGCTTTTTTTCGGTTGTTTTAAATTTCTTTTTTTCACATGAAACCGTACCATTTTTATTATATCATAATTATCGTGAGGAAGAAGCACAATTTGCGATAGCTCGTATGCTTGGCGAAGATCGTAACGCACCAATTGTTCAAAAAGAATTTGAAGAGATAAGAGAATTGTGCAACGATGACTATGCAGAATATCCTGAATGGAAAGTTTTTACATCTATAAATCGTTGGTTGATGTCAATACCGTTAAGTGCGCGTATTACTAGTGCTCATTGTTTATATATGTTATGTCTCATTATGCTTGTAAATTGTATTGGTGGTCATGTAGATGATGTAGAACTTATCAAGCGAACTCCTTTGGAGGCCAAAGTGGAGATATTCGACGGGACTTTTAACGGCAGTGCGCTTATCAATGGCACAATAGTTAAAGGTACATTTATAAATGGCACGTCAAGCAACGACAATAAGGACGGAATCTCGTCAAAAGAAGTAATAACCGACAAAACAACCGACAAAATAACTGAACCCGCGTCATCTAACGTAACGTTGAACAACGCCACGTTAATCAATGCCATGTTAACTAACGGTAAAGTAGCGTTAATAAACGGTACGATAATCAACTGCACGCTAATTAATGGCGCATTTCATGATGGCACTTTTATTAACGGCACAATGACCAATGGCACCATAATCAATGGTACGTTAATCAATGGTACGATTCATAATGGCACACTTTTGAAGCCAACCAACGGTTTGGTAAAACAGGAATACGAAAAAGACATAAGTAAAAACTTAAATACACTTATGGAATTGGCTGGAATGTATAATGCTTCCATTAAATGGCTACTCGCATTTTGGTTTATACTTGGTCTACCATTTGTATTCCTTGGAAATTATTTCAATTGGAAGCGTGGCCTTCATTTTACAACCTTTATAGTTGGTACCTCTATAATACTTTTTACTATACTACATGATATAGTGGGTTACCTTTTCAACATACTTGTAATTATATTTATTGACATTTATATACATTTTCTAACACTGCCTATTGATACTATTGGCTATTCATATTTAATGGAATGCTTTCCCATCTCAATAAAATCCAAAGCTATCGCCATGGTCACCTTATGCGAATGTATATTCAATACATGTTTTATTTGGATTGAGATGAAACACTCATCATTTGGCTTTGACTTCTTGGCAATGGGTGCTTTATTCACTATACTTGGATTATATTTGTATGCCGTCGTACCAAATACGAATGGGCTATCCTTAGCTGCTGCCAAACATGCTTATATTCAGTCACTTTCTTCGAGTTGGTGGAAATTTTATAAGAAAAAGTAAACAAAATTGCAAAATTATATGGAGAATGCAATAATTTTTTTTAAATTTTTAATTATTTGATTCAGTGAAAATAAATCTGGGGATAAAAAGGTCTTAAAACGTATTTCCAGATCTATTCTCATGCATATATTTCTTAAATGTCAATTTCAAGACGCTTGGATCACTTTAATATTATACCGAAAAACAGTGCCTATGTTATACTCTCATATAAAGTACAAAAAAATAGAATTTGTTTCCTTGTTACATAATTGTTTTTTTAAAGAAAGATTTTCATTTAAATAGAATATATTTTTATCAAATTTTGAAGTATTTAAATAGCCATTTTATTTTTAACACCGTTGACATTTTTAATGCTATGCCGAAATTGATGCAACTTTTACTTTATTTTTTCATTGCAACAAAACTTATGTGTTATCTCTCATGTTTCGGGCACTGATTCATATAAAATTACTCAAATTAACATTCAGAATATATAAATTTATTGTTATACATATGATATGAAAATTAATCAAATTATATTGTAATGTTTATCAGAGAAGATGGAATGGTGAGGAGTCAAATTAGGAGGAATATTTTTTGTGGTGCTCAAAGGTCATAAAAAATATATTTTTGATTAAATTTTATTTTTGTCCTTAATTTAGGAAGAGACGCTTTTCATTTCCTCATTTGCTTCCTCATCGTTTTTCTTCCTAACGGTTCTTATTATATTGACAATAACGTGGAGTTTTCAAACTGCCACATCCTAGTTAAACTACTGTACAACGCAAAACAAAGTTGAAAAAATCGTGATTTTTTTTTCAAATATGTACATTTATACAATTCATTGCGGCTCAACAAAGTGCTTTATCAAATTAATTGAGAAACAATTACCATCCAATACAATGCCATTAATCACACGCACACACATAATAAGAATTCATTACTTTATGGTATAAAAGGGGATTAGTGTGTGTGTCGAGTGTCGGGTATTTTATATTTTGAATGGTCTAAGCAGAGCTGGGCACGAACAGTCAGTCGTTCGTTCGCAAGTGGAAATAATACTTTTTTGTGGTCGGTCGTTCGTTCGTTGAAATTATTAGTGGTCGGTCGGTTGTCCGTAAAAATTGAAATTTTCGCTGCGTTCGTTCGTTTGTGCGATCGAACACCGAACACGTCCGCACGTTCGGAGATAAAAAATCAATATATTTGCTCGAGTTTTGGAAGTGAATTTTAAAACGTTTGAATTTATTGAATTATATATTGATTTTTTACCTCCGAACAACCGAACGTGCGGACGTGTTCGGTGTTTAATCGCACAAACGAACGAACGCAGCGAACATTTCAATTTTTACGAACGACCAACCGACCAAAGTCGGACATTGATGTTCGTGCCCAGCTCTGGGTCTAAGTAGTAAGGTTTCAGGGAAAATGGTTCGGAATAAGAATGTGCTTTTAAAAGAATATAATTACAAAATATGCCTTCATTTTACAGCGATCGATAAAACAGTAAATCGAAGAGTAGAAGTAAAATGTTTCAAAAACAAAAATAAAAAAATTCTAATCATTACTTGAGGATACGATATTATGTAATTATTATCCCCCCCACGATGAAGTAAATTAAAAACGATTTTAAATAATCCATTTTTGATGAGAGACAATTTCATCATAAAGTGAAAACTGAAAGCATTTTACGTTATTTTCGAGGGTAATATGGTACTTGTTACATAATATCATATGCTTGTGTGCAATAAACTAACATTTTGATGTATTATATCGAATATTCAATGTAATTTTATGAGTATACAGTTCATATTAACATTTCTTTGTATCCATAAGAGCTTAGCTCGCAATATTTCAAGAAACTTGGCCAAAGTTGAGCATTCATTATCACAAAAATGCTTCAAATATATTATATGTATTTATCGAAGGATATCTTTTCAATGTTCGATCTTTTCATCAAATCCAAAATCTATGTGTTACTTTTCATTTGCGCTTACATTAAATAATTCTGTATGATGTATTAATCTACATATATATATGTACACGTGTATGTATAATTTCAATAATAATGACGATAATAATAATAAAGAAATGAATTTTCGAAATGATTTCATCTTCAAAGTGGAAATGTCTTCGATTATTCCAAGCAGTTTAGTCGATTTTAATTCAATTAATTATTCATTTAGGCTTTTCTCAGCGTACAAAATGGAATTTCCTGCGAATATGGTTGGTGGTGTGCGTCGTCTTTTGCTTGAGCCAATAGTTAATTTAACACTTAATGTATGTAAACGAACAGATATTTTGGTTGGTTCGTTGTTAATAGGAAAAGTTTTTTTTATTAATTACAATATGCGTCGAATTTATGCATACGAATCAGATGGAATGTACAGAGTTACGCTTTGCTTGACTAATATAAATTCAATGTTAATTTATGCTTTATACTTGGTGTCTGTTCGTTGCGCATAAAATTCATAAATAAATGCATAAAGGCAACAAAATACAGCAAAGGTGTGTGCACGATAAAATATTTCAAATAGCCGAATGCATATACTCTCACAACTGTTGCCCATCAACTTTTGCCACGGAAAAGCTTATATTTGGTGAAAATTAAATCACTTTTCCAATGAGAACTAGTGAATGTGATAGCTAAACAGCCACTCTTTCGCCAACACACACACACACACATAATATCCATCAAATGGCAGAACAGGAAGAGTGTGGCTGAGTGAAATGAGCAAAAAAACACTTTGACTTTGCTATTTTTCGTGTAATAACATTTTTGCACTACGGAATTGAGAATTTTTTTTAATGTTACGACGGGCATTGAGGGGATGAACGTCATTTCGGTGCGTTTCATTTGCATAAAATATAAATTGTTGAAAATTTCATGTGTTGATCATCAACGGTTGATGGAGGCTATCAAAAAGGTAAGCACAACAACAGCTATTTTTTCTCACTCCTTCCATTCAAATAGAAGATGACAAAGACACAACAACGAAAAAGTTCTGCACGTCGATGCTTCACGTAGGCAAATGAAACAAAAAAAAAACAACAACGCTTCATCAGTACTAAAATTCGTTTAAAAAAGGTATAAGTTTCGTTTAACCTGAAAGTGTTTTTTAACGCTTGTTTCATTTTCTCAACACACATATTATGGGCCTTCCGTGTTGAGCATCGAATACCTGCTATGAATATACATTTAAGAGCACAACAAAACCGGTGAACAGGGGAAAAATTTATGAATTGATATTTTTGCATGAGAATGAAAGAAAGCAAGTCTTTTGATTGGAATATTTTGATTATGATAATGCTCTACTCTTCCTGCCACATACTAACTAAACGAATCAAAAACTATGTACAAACCTTGTTGATATGCATTTGCGTCGAGAATCTCTTAAAAATGAATTTCAATTAATTTCTCTTTTTTTTTCCCGTTGCTCTTCCTTCGATTAATAGAGAGATCATCGACATCATGGTATGTCACACTTTTCTCTTTTTTTTCAGGGTGTTGGAATGAGGCGCGTGCGTGTGTATACACAGAGTGATGTAAACCATATTTCATCTTTAGCTCTTTTCGTGTATTGGTGTGTTGGCATGACCTTTACACACAATTACAAAATTACTTAACAAACCGAAGACTGGTGAAAGACAGCTGCTCGAAGAAAAAAGCACAAAATCCCGAAACAAACAACGAACGAAATGAACAGCATCAAGACATAGAGAGAATGTGATCTAGAAAGAAAAGCTCAAGCATTCCATTACTTAATATAAGTAATGCTTTTCAAACTTTATGTTAATCCATGGTATCACTTTCGTAAATATTAGATAAACATACGCTTACACTTACGTTATGTAGTCACGCGCGTTTAAAATGCACAAAACACACACACACACCCCCATCTATGTGCGCGCGCTTTCCGAACACCACTCGAATCAGTTTTTGGTGTTTTGCCTTATCAACATTAATGAAAAATATGGGTCTCTTAAAAAGATTATCTGCTGCGTGAACATGGCATGAATAATAAAAATCGTTTAGTTGCAAAAGAGAGAGAGAGGGCGAGAGTAGAATCACAGCATGTGTTTGCTTTGGTCGCGCCAAAATAATTTCGATTGAACGGCAAAGCACTAGAAAAAGGTGATCGAAAATTGTTGACGGCTGCTGTCTTTTCATCGCCTTTTTTCAGTCATGTACATGCATATCGAACCGAAAAACCAAATTAAGGAGCAGATCGTTTATAGAATAGAATGAATTTTGACATAACAATACATAGCCGTTATTCTTCTTTTACACAACGACATTTGGTTCGTCTACATTTTGTATTTTGCTGTCAAGCAGCTCATTTGAATGTATGAAAGTGTAACATTATAAGCGATTGTGGAAAATAAGCTGTTGAGAACTAGAGAATCAACATGAGCATCCATAGAAGTGAACTGAACCACATTAAAGAAAATCGAAACGAAGAAAGAATTATGCAAAAATCATAAGCACCATTGAAAAATCCATTCATTTGTCACATTTGTTTCTGGTAAAGTGCTTTGCAAAAAGTCGTCTACTCTAACTCACACTTCCCATCTACCATTGCGTAAAATAGCGAAGGATTTCAACGTAAAAACGATAACTTTTTCACATTGTGTGTGTGTGTGTGTCATACTTGTGAATGTAGTGATGGAAGCGCACAAAATGACGCTATTGTCGAATGTACTCAGGCGAAAATGTACATGAATACACTCAAGTACAACCCGACAGAACAACGACAATTATTTACGTTTGAGCGCCATAGCTGAAAGCAAATGACTTTGGGGGTTTGATAAAAGTGCACGTCAACCTATTAATGTTAATAGAGTTTAACTGAAGCGAATTCGAAACAGTGAACCATCGATGGTTGGGGTAGGAGGTTTGCTGATGTAAAATCGACATGTTTTCACGGATTTCCAATAGACACTGGTTCCAGGTATATATACATTGACTAATAATTCATAAAATGCCTTGATGTTGTTTGACAATGACGATAATGACGGATACGTCAACAACATCAACGGTGACGACTCTTCGTCTTTTTTTTTCTCTCTCTCTCTCTCAATTCACCGTTTCGACTTTCTCATTCTTTCCCTTTCTTTCTCTTTCTATCTCTTTTAGATGCGGCATTCCCCTTTTTTGCCTCAAATTTTTGCGTACAAACTGTTGTATTGTTTGCTGAAATGTTTTGTTCATTCATACTTCATTTAATCAACGGTTTTTA